GTCTAATCATCCATCCATCCATTCATTCATTCATCTGTCTGCATTCATTCTGGCCTTCCATATTCCCAAATTTGCAACTCCCTTCTCTGTCAATGACAGACATGGCTCCCAGTCTCTGAAATATCATGACTTACTTAGTCAATCCTAGGGCATACCCATTAACTAACCAATACGCTCAGACCTCTGGGAAAAATCAAAGCTATTAACATCTATATTGTGAAGTAAAGACAGGTTTCCTTTCTCTGTTAGCTGTCCTTCTAGTTGCAAATGTGGTAATCTCAGGAAACCGGTGCGGTGGGCCGATGGGGACAGAACGCAGTGCTTTGTGACACGGCCGCACAAGGCAACATCACTGGACGGCCAGCGGCCCCTTCTCTGCACTTCACCATTATCTTGTGCAAACCCAAAAAGCCAAGCCAAGCCACTGTCATTGTACAGGTGACTTACCTCTCAGGGAAACTGAGTTTTCTGAACCATCTTGATACTTTCCACTACTCTTGCTGCAATAATCATTGATTAACTTGTTGGCCAAAATCTTGGTTTTCTCTGTGACTTTCCCTCTAAGTTTCTGATGACAAGAACACTGACCTCCCTTTATCCATCTCAAATTCCCTCCAGCGCTGCCTCAGAACATACTCATGTGTGTGTCCCTTTCTGCCCAGGAGAGAAGTTGCAGTTTCAAATCATCTACTTCAATTTTGAAACGGTGCAGGTTACCTGGAACGCGAGTGAATTCTCTGGGGTAAACCTCACTTTCTTCTACACGTAAGTGGCCTTGGGGACCTAGAACCCTGCACCTGGTGAGTTCTCCTTCTGAGAGACGTTTGGGGTGGGAAAGCGAGAAGTGAAGGTGTGGAAAGACTGAATGAGTCGTCCCCAGACCTCACCCAAACCACAGTCCCAACCACAGTTATCCCCAAACCTTCTCAGCCCCACGTGATGACTGAGTCACCTTCAAAGTCACCTAGGTTCGTGCAAGGAAACTTGCAAACAGCCTTGTTGTCCCTGGGCCCCCTCCATCATGGCAGGAAACATCTCCAAATTATACCTCCACCCCCGGTAAATCTCTGTTATTGTAAATAATCCAGGAATCGTTACATCTTTTATTTTTAATTTATTTTTCTTACTTAGACATGTGTCTGTTAGGTTTCCACTTTTGCCGTCACAGAATTAAAAAGGCTGAATTTAATGACAATAATAATGTTTAACATAAGGACTGAGAACAAAAACCTCATAAATAACCAACAAACATAAATACATTCAGAAAAGAAATCAGATGATTGCTGCAATAAAATATTAAGCAATAATAGTAGTAATAATGCAAAGAAAGTAACATTCACATTGTCAGATAGGAGTATGTCTATGATAGAATACTTTGATCAGTTAAGTTCTTATTTTGTTTTTTTCCAAGGTCTCAAAAAAATAGACAACTAATATTTATAAATAAAAGTAAAAGATAACTTCAAAAAAAAAACAGATCATGCCAAATCTTACAGACAATAGAAAAACAGATACTTCAACATCATTCTACTTAATCTGGATACACCTGATATTAAAATGGGAGAAAATAATATTATTATAAAGGGGAAATTATATTATAAATTATAATATAAATT